TGCTGGGAGTTCCCACTGCTGGGCTAGCCTGAGAACTTGCTGGGAGTTTCCACTGGTAGATTGAGCCTGAAAACTTGAAGGCTTGAAGGAGCAACCCTGGACATGTGGAAGATACCAGAATTACCCTGACAACTAATCAAATTGGTTGCCACTCTTCTGCCTCCGTTTCCTTTCTTGTCTTAGGAGCTTGAATCACAGGCTCCCAAAGACCCTGGACCCCTACCCCAGAGTGGGGTCTCTGACAACCCAGTGGCCTAGCCTTCTTTCCTAAGCAGTCAGACTCCGGCTTCCTGGCCAGGTTCCACCCTGGGGCACATGCAGGACCAGGGGGCAGATAATGCCGTTATCCTGCGGGAGGGTGGAGAGGCCCTAGGCTATGAGGCCAGCTGATGTAAGAGACAGGTAAGAGGCTGGGACGTTGCTCAGTGTTGTTGAGCTTGGATGGGTGCTGGCTGGTGAGCCCAATCAAGGAGAGACAAAGAGGGGCTTCCCTTGGGAATCTGCACCCAACAGCAGGTTATCCATCTTCCTACGCAAAAGGCAAAGAGGAAGAAAGGAAAATGAAGTCATTCCAGCCCCTCTCTTGAAGAACAGCAACTCATTTCTGAGGTCTTATGGAGGATGGAGGGTGCTGTGAAGGACCGCTCTCAGGTTCCACAACTCCCAGTTGCCACCTGTGTCCTTTGGGCCAGCTAGAGAGCTTAAGATGTCTCCCTCAGGGGACATAGAACTGGAGGCGCCAGGCAGCCTGAAGATCTCAGCCTTCAAGTGGCTAGAGCCACATTCATTCCTCAGGAGAGTCTCTGCCTCCCTGCTGTCTTTGAACCTGTGCTGAGCATTAAAAATAGCTGCTCTACCCACCCAAGGGAAATGGTGAGAAGAGGCACCACCCAGCAGCATACAGCGGGAGTCTCGAGGCTCATCCTTAGGGGGCACATTGCCCATGGTGCCCTGCCCTACAGCTAGAAAAGCCTCAAAGCACCCAACAACAATGCTCCCCCGACTAGCCAGTGCAGGATGGTGGAGGACTAGAGAGAGGACTCTGCAGCTAGGGGCTAGGGGCTAGCTCAGGGGGAAGGCCAGAAGGTGGGGTCTGGGGAAGCAGGCGGCTCCCTTGGCCGGAAGACCACAGAGGTTTCCTTGGGTTTGCTGTGGCACAGTCCTCCGGCCCACCCAACACTGTTCATGCCGCTTTACAATGGCCGGTCCTGAGTCTTGTTCCCTGTGGAGCTTCCTGAAGCAATGACCTTATTTCCACACCTTCTGGACACCATAGCCCCCTCTGTCCCCCTGTAACTTTGGAAGTTATGGAAGCTTGGGTCAAAAGAGAGCAAATCGTTCACCCAACAGCAGTTCCTGAAGTCAGAATTTGAGCTCAGGTTCGTCTCTGGCCCGAGTGCACTTGACACTAACACACTGGGAACAAAAACAAAGCTGTCAGCACACACATACACACACACACACACACACACACACACACACACACACACACACCACAGAGAGAGCTCTTTTATTAAAATCACTGTGTGCCGCAGACAGCTGCAAGAGATACACAAATGTTTCATGGACCCTACTTCACACAACAGGAAGGAAGGTGTCCAGGTAGGTGTTGACCCTATATAAATGCATAGCCAGTCACTCCCCGCCCATGCTCATCCCATCCTTAGCCCTGACAACCATGAATATCTCTAAAATGCTAGCCGAGCTGACTCAGTGCAGCTCTTTCTAGACATGCCTGAAGTCCTTACCTCCACCCTTAGAGCCACAAGAGAGAAAAAAAAGCAAACAGTGACCAGACCAAAGGATTTGGAGCCTCCCTTGATCTCCCTGAGTGGCACGTGTGCCTCCCTCCCTCCCTGCCTCTCTCCCTCCCTCCCTCCTGTCCTTGCTACAGTTCTGTCTGGGATCTGCCTTGCCTTGGCATGGTTGGTGCTCCTTCCCTAGAAGGTGCCATTGTGTAAACAATGTCTATGAGACCTGGAAATAGAAACAAAGCTGAGATCGGGAAGTGGCCGGGGCCAGGAAGCAGTTAAACCCAGGAGTAGACTCCTCTGGGACCTAGCATACTGGAACACTCCAGGGAGCAGGATGAAGCCTCTGGAAGGATATTGATAGTGGACTTTGTGCAGCAGGTGGGCTGGAGCCCCCAAGGCCATTATCCCCAGGACCAGCATAGATGCAGCATGAACATATTCACAAGTCGCAGTATGGTAGACAGGATCAGGTTCCTTCCCCTGCCCCACGCCTCCTCAGAGTCAACACACCCTTTCTGCTACTGAACACTTCTAGGTGTGACCCTTGCCTTAGTAGTTGCTCTCACTCCTTAGAGAATAAAGCAAATCCTTGACCCAAAGCACGTGGCTAGTTCCTTTACTTGCTTCTTATTGGCCAGGATCTGGTCACGTGACCACACCTAGCTGCAAGAGAGGCTGAGATGTGTGCTCTTTAGCTGGAAGGTTGTATGCCCTGCCCAATACCAAGGGCTCTATAAGGAGAGCAGGAGCTGAGGTACTGACACCAGTGGGCCTCTGGACCTCTCCGTGTCTTGGTTTCCTCTCCTGTATCGTGTGGGTAAGAAGAGCCTTGATTCCATTGTGAGGCACTGCACCCGTAGGAGGAGCTCAGACGGCAACTGTTGGTCTGCCACACATGGGGTCCTGAACGGTACCCCCAGCACCAGGTTATGCCCAAGGCATGTTTTTGATAGGTACCCCAGCCCTTGCTTCCACTCTCACTTACCAGCAAGACTTGGCCGACCTCAAGCCTAGGGCTCTTCTGGTGGCCCCATAACTCTCTTCCAAGTTTCCCTGGAGACCCTGAAAGAGACCTATGGTGGCCTGGGTTCATGGCCAGCTGTCCCCACACTGCCCCTGCACTGCTCCGTCAGACTCGAGTCCTCTCTTAGCCTGCCGAACAGATGGCCTGGCTCTGTGGGGTTCTCGCCAGCTCAGCTGCAAGAAGTGTTTAATCCGTCTCGTGCAGCTCATCACAAATGGTCAGCTTGGAGGGGCTCAGATCCAGGATGTCAGAGTGACTGCAGGACAGCCTGTCCCTCCTTACATGGGTCTGGAATTGGGGCCAAAGCCTTTGGAGGGGTGGGAGCACCATCCAGGCAACAGAAGTGGGTGATCTTAAGTCGGGGCTCAGAGACCCCCAGCTTGTATCAGGCCCAGCAGCCTTCAGTTCTCCTCACTTTGGTCCCTCCATCTGGTTGTCTCAAAGTCTCTCTGCTCAGAGTCTGTCTGCAAGGAGAAAAGGAAGCAACGGGTGTCACGGCTTCACACCTATTCTGGGGAGCCTAAGAGACTCGTAAGGGGAAGGGCTTCCTGCTCCAGCCCCTGCTTTCCAGCCCTTCTGTCTGCATGCCCATCACTCCACATAGAGACAGCCCTGGGAAGGAGGACAAACAACCCCCCACACACACCGTAACGTGCCTCAGCACCGTCAGAGCTGCTCATGCCAAATAACCTGAGTAGATGGCATGGGGCTCTTGTACTTTGTTTTATATGTATATTTTGAAACAAGGTCAATGTGACCTTGAAATTAAGCTCCTCCTACTTTGGCCTCCCAAGGGCTGGGATCATAAGCATGTGTCACCATGCATGACTATGTTGCTGATTATATTTGTAAAAATCCACCTCAGTATTAGAAAATCTCTACAGACTTTTATGTGGACAGCCCCCCCCCCCCTTTCCTTGGACTCCACATGGGAGAATCCGAACATGCTGTTTCTTATCTGTCCTGCACAGCCCAGCATTTCTATAGCACCGACCTTGGCCTACATCTGATAAGCATCTAGAGATGGCTGAAGCACAGGGAAGAGTGTGTGTGGGCTCTACACAAACAATATATCAAGCTCCATGAGGTGCCTGAGCATCATCTCAGACTTTGGGGATCCTGGACCCGCTCCCCAATGTGTGCTGAGTCAGAGCTGTGTGTGAAACATGTTCAGGTCCGAGTGCAGAGGTGCTGAGCACAGTTCAGACCCACGTTCCAGGAGCTGAACACACTGCCAGTCTCCACAGGACACCCTCTCAGGAGCCCACAAGCTGACAGAATCTCCTCCTCTCAGGTCGACCTGTACGACTCCGACCCACTCATCTGCCGCGCAGGGGTGAAGGTGTGCTTTGGCATACAGCTGCTGAACGCCGTCTCCAGGGTGGAGCGTGCGATGCCCAAGTTGACGCTGCCGTTCCTGCTGCTGCAGGGTTCTGCTGACCGGCTGTGTGACAGCAAAGGTGCCTACCTGCTCATGGAATCGTCCCGGAGTCAGGACAAGACACTCAAGGTAAGGGGCAGGAGGCCATGTCCCAAGGGGTCTTTGGGGGGCCTGCCTGGCTGCGAAGCAATGGTGAGAGGTTAGAGGCAAATGAACTTTGTGGCAGCACCTGGGTCCCCAGGCCGTGGCGTCACAAAAATGAACCTCACAGAGGAGGAAACTAACCCGATGGTATGGGCAAGAAGAAAGCTGCAGCTGGGCACAGGAGACAATGTCTTATCCAAGCTGCAGGGCTCGCTGCAGTTCCCCAGTGCCCTCTGCACCTGCCACAGCTCAGAGTCCACAGGTCCTGGGGCCTCAGGACACGCAGGGACCGTGGGGTCAGGGAGTGCAGGTTCTGGGGCGCTTGGTCGAGTCCGGTCTGCAAGGGCATCTGCAGGGGTTGGCTCTGTGGTTGGAGCCCCTGAGGACAGGCCACAACTTGATGATGGGACATGTTTGACACAAGGAACAGAGTACCACTCGGTGGCGTTCAAGACAGATGCTTTCTGGGTCCAGATAGACTTACCCTTTGTCCCACTGAACTAAGAGGCACCCCAACTGAGGTGGTGAGGCCCTGCTGGGTACTAGTCAATGTGGAACCCTGACACTGAAGCATACCCACCCCCTTGCCCACATTGTTGGGCTCCTGGCCTGGGCAGATGTGAGGGTGCCACAGAATCTGGGCTATATCCTCACTGTGTTACAAAGACAGCCAGGTGACGCTTCAAAAGTGGTGGAGTCAGTATTTGAACTGAGGTCCTTGGACTTGAGTCCACAGTCCCTCCCAACCCTGCAGCACTCTGGCAGAGACTTGTGTCTTTGCAAATTGTCAAGGGCTTCTCAGTGGTGGAGCTCTTGCTTCATCGGGGGGCCCAGGGTCCCATCCTAGCTCCAGACTCGCAGGAGAATCAGCTTTTTACTCACTCAGCGGTCATCCATCGCTTCTGCAACTCCTGTTTATTGAGTTCTGACTTTGTGGAGGTCCCGAGGAGGACCTGACAAAGGCTCCCCCACTTCTGGAGCCCGTACCCTAGTAGGTGAGCAAAGAGAAAATGGATGCTCAGGATAGCTGTGGATAGGGTTCAGGGTCTGTAAGACAGAGGGATACTTGGGCACTCCCCTCCCATGAAGCAGGCAATCCAAAAACTAACAGGGAGAGTAGCCACAGAAGAACATTCCAGACCAAGCAAGGGAAGGGAGGGGGGGATGGCAGGCTCTTGGTTTTGGCACAGGGAGCAACTGTGAGAACAAGGCTGGCCCAGGGGGAGGAGCTCATGAGATAAAGCGTTCACAGCCGAGGTGAGGAAGCAAGCACGTCGCCTTCAGAGGCGAGACGCCTGAGCACAATCCCACCTCAAGAGCTAGTGCCCACGCCACATGGAGGCTTCTGGAGGATGCAAATGTACTGGAAAGCAAAATGAGCCAGGCTCAGAAAGCTAAGCGTGGCATGCTCTTATGGACATGCAAATCCCTAAGCCTGCACTATAAACGTTCAAATTATGATTCCCAAGGCTGGGAGAGTGAGGAGGGAGACCCAGGAAGACAGGCAGGCCAGGGGCAAATGCAGTGAGGTGGCTGTGTCCTGGTGTCCTGTAGCCCATCGACTAGCTGAAACTAGAAGAGGCATGTTGAGTGCTCTTAGACAGAGAAGTCAGGGACCGGGGGCAATGGCTGTGTTGATTGCTCCACACAATACTCAAGGATGCTTGCTCCTGGGGTTTGGGCCTGTAAGAGCAAGGAGGCTGCAGTGCCCCTCTGAGACTGGTGACCCCAGCAGACCGTAGAGAGAAATCCTAAGGCAAATGGCAAGTATGTAAGTCTCACTTCCGAAGAGGGCTGACTGGAGGGACATCCTCGTCAGCCTCGTAGTACGCGTTTCTAAGCCATGGGCGGTTACTAGACTGTTGGGGCTATAGGAGCCACCAGAAAGGGAGGGAGCTGACCAGGACAGAACAGAACCACAGTGTGTTTGAGGGCCGCTGATCTGCCTCTGGATGCTGCTGGTAAGTCCAGAGTCATCCAAACATCAAGTGTCTCTGGGTAGGGCAAGTGAGACCCCTGGAGACCTGGCCAAGGGCCACTGCTATGGGTTGTAGGGAAGAGGGGAGTAGAGATGGAGGGGGCGGTGATGGAAGTGATGGGGGCGTGAAGATGGACAGAGCTTCCTGGCAGGAAGGTCCCGGGGAATCTAAGCTGTACCAGCAACTGGAGAGCCCCGGGAACAGCACGGAATGCCCAGACTGTTGGAAAATTGTAGTTTGTGATTAGAGGCGACCCATACCTGCCTTCTCAGCTACCAGGAGCCTGAGATGGGGAGATGGCTTAGGGCTAGACATTTAGGGCTAGCCTAAACAACATGGCAATGTCCCACCTGAAAATGAACTAGGGGGACCACTGGGAATGATTGCCGAGTGAGCTCGTCAGTGTGGCCTTGTGCGCTCCTGTGCTCTGCCTGTCCCCCACACCGGCTCTAACTCCCTGGCTCTTCTGATTGCAGATGTATGAAGGTGCCTACCACGTCCTCCACAAGGAGCTTCCAGAAGTGACCAACTCTGTCCTCCATGAAATAAATACGTGGGTCTCTCACAGGACAGCAGCAACAGGAGCCGGGTGCCCACCCTGAACGTACTGGCCAGGCAACCAGCTTGTGGTCTGGGGGAAGCAGGCAGAGGAGGGGCAGTGCCGGCTGGCT